TCCTATTGGTCAATTTAACGATCGACAACATGAAAACCAAGATTTTACAAAAAACCATATAGACAGACAATAACCAGATTTTTATTTATAGATCTCCAAACAAGGATAAATTTGTAATTAATATATTATGTAAAGTAATAAAGTTTCAACAAATTTGGTTTACAATGTTCATGTCAATAATTGTACAGGAATCACAGCAGATTGTAGGTGGTAATATTGATGAACCTTAACCTTATCTCTGACAAGAACATTCAGATGCATTTCATGCACTCCAACAATACCAAAATGATTTTTGTCAACATTAACACTTTCATGTACCAAATACATCCCATTGTTAGTTTCTCATCATCCATTTGTTTTTTAGGTGCTAAGTGCTTGCACTTAAAGGATTTTTTAAAATATGGTAGTAAAAATTAGTCAGTTAGAGAACCAAAAACTTTCTCAACTTAAAGAATTGGATCTGCAGCAGTGTAGTTTTTGTGGTCAGATAACAATTCTCAACCTTGGTTGAGGGGGTTTTGAGAAACTTCATTGTCAAGCTTGTCAGGAAGTTCATGTGCTTTGTCCGGAGCTGTGCTTACCAGTTGAGAACTAAATAGAAATAAAATATTTGATCTAACAAATCCTAATTCTGGTAACCCATAGTATTTTTTCTTAATAATATTACATGCTAATAAATCTTATGGTCAAGAGCCTCAAAAGGATGAGAATCAATCATAATAAAAATGAAATCATTTGCATTATTTAACCTCTGTTTACTTATAATTTCCATTTATTTAGTTAAATCTACCCTAAAGATATTTTATTTAATTATTTATATTAATATTAATATTAATATTTAATTTTTTTTTTTAATTAAAAATTTAATAAACTGAGCATTAAGGAAAAACACGTTTATTATGAGCCTTTTTATTTTCTTCGGCTTCTTCACTTTTCATAAATTCTTTAATGAACAATTCCTCTTCAACTGAAGACACATTGATTGGTGGACTGGAAGTAAACAGATCAGGTCTTTTTGCCTTAGATCTTCTGATTGTTAGAAAAGCAACCAATACAACTACCTAATAAAATAAATAATGAAACAAAAAACATTATAAAAATTTCCACTTACATATTGAGATGCAATTTTACGACCAGCGATCACATATGCTACTCCCATTCTTATAGTTATTTGTAATATCGTATTGGTTATTAATTAATAATCATATTATAGATATTTTACAAATTGTAAAAAATAATTTAATTGACGATCCGCGAATAAATCGGAGGAAAATTGACACAAAAATGACCAATTGAGTACCTTTGCATGAAACATAACTCAGAAAACATATTAATATATTTTATTTTACCT